CTTTGCTAGGATCTCCCTTCTCTACCAAGAAACCCGATTTCTAGGTCTGGTGTTGTTAGTTCCATGAAACCCTTTAAAGGTACCCATTCCTGATTTGCCACTGGGACACATTCACCATTGAAAGAAAACCCCTGAATGACTTACCCTAAAACAAGATCTCTGGTGTTTTTGAGTTCATCCCTTTACTAAGTTTTATGAGGTTGTTGAGCCAGACAAGCACTACCGTACCCTGCTGGTACCGGGACTGAGTCAGTTGGGAGCAGTGAGAAACTCTGTCCACAACTCCCCAGTGGATCAGATATGTGCTATTGAGAAAGCACAGAAAAGCAGGATGAGCCCCAATCACTTTGCTATTTGGCCTCTCAGCTCTGGGTGTGGGCAGGTTGACAGCTGAACCTTAACATAGGCATACTGGTTGATACTCTGTTCAGATGGCCCCTTGCTGAGTTAATTCTTCAAAAATGGTTTTAGGTCTTTTAATTCATACAGATCAAACCCTGACCTCTTTGCTTAGAAGATGAAAGTGCCCCAAAGCCACCAAGTTGTAGAGAACTTCAGATGCACTCACCTCCTTTAGTAATTGGAATGCCACCGACCCCATTGCTGAATCCAGGGCACCCAGTGTAAAATGTACAGGTTCAAGGTTAAAGGGTGCCACTGTTTAAACAAGGATTGACAAATGGGTCCCTTTTCCAACTTAGATCAATTGGAAGTGACAGCTTGAGTGCTTTGGTGAGGAGACTCTACCTTGAGGAGAAGTATGGCTCATTAGTGATGGCTGACAATGTGTGGGGTGTTGGGCTCAAGCCATTAGCAGAGCCAAAGTGGCCAGGTTGGATATTGAATGCCTAATGCTAATTGAGTCCTTGCTAGCCCTATATTCTAGTAGGGAAACAGGGACGATGATAGAGATTTCTCTCCCTTCTATTTGATTCTTTCCATGAGTTTTGTTATAAATAAAGGTAGGAAATATCATAACCAAATGGTGTCAAAGACCTCACCTAAATAAGACACTTGTCTTTTGAACTGAGGAGTAGGGAAGATGATATATGTGTGTAGAAATGCTGACTTATTTAGCCACACACATAGATCATGAAGCATTAAAATTTTCTCTTAAATGTAAGGCTGATAACCCAGGCATCTCCCAGTTTATAGGAACAAGAAGCCTGACTTAACAGGAACCATATACACAGTAAACTAATTTTTTGGTTCCAGATTCTACTATTAAACAGATTTTCTATATCTTCGCCCCAGGAATCTATACTTCAGTACTGGATGCTGTCATAGATGAGAGTTTACAGAAAGAGGGGAGATAAAAGTTTTATAGCTTCATCTACCCAAAGTGGTCTAATCTGAAAACTGGTAGCAGACATTTCTCAATGGCCTAAAAAATATTTTGACATGTTGGGGACTTCAAAGCTTAGTGGTCTGGAGTTAGAGTCACATTCCAGCTCTGCCATTTTCTAGTTAGTGGCTTTGGGCAAGTTTTTTAACCTCCCTAAGCCTCAGTTTCCATATCTGTATATTGGAACGATAATAAAACCTAACTCAAAGGATTATTTTGAGGGTAAAATAGTGAATGCATGTAAAACACTTAAGTCCAATGTCTAGCACATAATAAATACTCAATGACTATAAATAAAAAATTAGCATTATAATTGGAGAATAGAACCCAGCTCTTGTCATATCTTAGATTAGGTTTTGGGTCCAAGAAGACCTATTCAATTTTATGCCAAATTTCTTGGGCGAGATTCTCTTTGGGGAGAAGGTCCAGAACTTTGCTCAGATTCTCAAAATGTTAGAGCCCCATGAATTAGATGAATATGGGGACTAAAGAAACACCAAAATCTTCCTTGACAACAAGTAACTCTTTCCTGCCCTAAGATAATTCTTTGCTATACTGAACTAATGTAACAACCTAAATGATTAGCTTGGATTTTCTCACATTGTAAAATCTGAGTTCTCTATCATTTCACCAAAATGATCTAAATGCAGAAGTAGGCTCTGAAGACATTGTAAGAAGGACTAGTAGATAAGTGTAGAAGTAGGAAGGCAGAGTAGATTTTAGGGAAGACAAATGTTTCCTTCTCTCTTCTCGAAAAGAGGGCAGCCTCGTGTTGTCTTATTTATCTGACCTTCACTACTGTTCATCGAAGACTTGAAATCCCCTCACTTGCTAGTGAGAGTGTCTGTCTACAAGACTAATGAGGTATTCTGGGACATTACTCTGGCTTCCTATTGTAACAGGAGCATTTGGACACTAAACATACTTCTTGCCTATACAACCTTTGTTTTATTTTGACTGAAAACCTCATGGCAATGGGACTGATAGTACCACATTTGGCGTTGATGTTGAGTTAGCTTTGTTGTAGGTATGTTTAAGACTATTCGTTGATGGATTTGATAACATCACTAATCCTGTTAGGAAATCACACTTTCTATGGCTTCAAGGGCTCATAGTATTCTTGAATTGCTCTTTTCTCAAAGGAAGATGCTCATTTCCTACTCTGTCAGTGACTATAAAAGGAAAGGGGGTAAAAACAAAAGAAAATCAAGTATGTGAGCATGGGTCACCCCAAATGGGCTATTTTCTCTTACACTGGTGCTCTAATAATATGTAAAATAAGGACCTCCCAACCATAATTATTTTCCCTTTGCCATTCGGATCTGCCTTGAGAAATTTCAAGGGCTCCATTATGAAGAAAGCTTCTAAGAACCATAGACATCACATTGCTTTTGAAAGTGCTAATGCGGGTGGTGAGCTATGCTGGCTGAAGCAGCAGGTCTCCAACTGCTTTATCTCTTATCCGTGGTTTAGCTTTGTGAATGAGAAATTCAGAGGCAACTGTATAATTTTAAATTCTGATGACCACAAAGAAAGAAATGCATCTGACATGTCAATGCAGTAGCTTTGACTAGTTTAATGGAAATATGTTGAAAATGGGGGAACCTTCCACCAAAGAGAGAGTGATGAAAGACCAAAAGAGAGACATTTTATATTTGAGATAAAAGATCTATTTTCTACAGTTGTTTCTTTTATTATTACTTCCCTCCCCCATCTACTACTGGGGCACCAGGCAAACGTATTATTGTGGGAACTGCTTTGTTATCTTTCTTGTGCCTAAGATTTTCTGGTGCAGGGGAAAGCTAGAAGATGGGTCTTGTTTACAACGTACTCAAGTGAGATTTTCACCTTTCACAGAGCCTTAAAGAATAAGAACCAGGTGCTTACATGAATCTATGTATCTCTTTTGTCCAAGCGTTGTGCTATCTTTTGCCTAAAATAAACAAAGGCAAGATATTCTCATTTAGCTGAAGGGCAGGGTTGCCCATTGAATCCTCCTTTGGTTGAATCCAGATAAAATGCTGAAGGACTCCTTTAGTGATGTCGATTAGGGTCTGTAAAATGGTGGTTGTTTTCATTAAGAAAAAAACCCCACATTTCCTCCCTGACATGAATACTCATATTACAAAACCTCATTCATACTGATGCTATTTTAACAATATTGAGTAAAGCTGGGATTAGCGATAGGGATGTTGACTGAAGTGACAGATCTCAGGTAGGAACCTACCTTCCTACACAGAGGCAGGTACGGAATTGGAAATAGTCTTCTTTGCACTCCCACTACCTGAAAGAACAAAGACCCAGGGCCTTGGGAACAAAATGAAACTGGAATTAACCTGCTTCATCCCAGCAACAGCTTCATGAAAGAATGGTACAATATTTTTTCTTCCTACATATTTTAAGATGCTTCTTTCAGTATTTCTAAATTTATTGGTCTCACCAACCCTTCAGGCCTGGTGTGGTCATAGCATTGTAAGTACAATGCAGGTATGAGTAACTGAGGTGGTGATGCCAAAAAGACACGTTAAGTTAAAATATGCTCTGAAGGACCATGGAATGGGCATCTTTTTGGACTATGGGGAGGTGAGGTGGAAGCCTCTAAGTAGAGGTTGTAGAAATAGTCTCTCCAGGGGAGAGATTCTGAATTTAAATCACAGGACCCCTGCTTCATTTATTACCACATTAGATGTAGACAGGAGGAACCACCTATCTACCTAAGATCTAAGGAAAAAACTCGTGAAGGATCACAGCTTTTCTTTCCTTCCATCTTCCTCTAATTCCATCCTCCTTGTTCCCCAGATCATGTGAGCCTGCATTTCTCAGATAAATGGATCATTTTTTTTAAAAAAAAACACAGCATAAGGCTAAGCTTTTTTCAGTGGCTAAGTATTTCTATTCTCAAGGACAGATGGACATGTAGGCTTACTCCATGCCGTTGTAAAGTCTCTTTCTGTGCTGCTGTGTCCTACTCGTACCATAAACGACCTCTACATCAGGGGTCAGCAAGCTTATTCTGTAAAGGCCAATTAGTAGCTATTTACTAGCAATGTATTGTGGGCCGTGAGATCTCTGGCACAGCTACTCAACCCTGCTGTTACAGTAGGAAATTGGTCATAGACAGCAGGTACATAAATGGATGTGGTTGTGTTATAATAAAACTTTATTTATGAAAACAGGATGAGCTGGATTTGGTTTAGGGACCAGTTTGCTGACCACTGCTCTAGAATTAAACCTCAAGCAATCTCTGGTCCATGATGGCTGGGCAGACTATGGAAATGATCCAAAGAAAACTGATGTAAAAGAAATGAAAACCAATGCAAGTTTATAAGATCTAGTCCTTGGGTAACATAATTCAAAAGCCTCATATCAAGTTTCCATCTACATTGATGCCACCATAGGACTTTTGAAAACCTCCATCACACCTTCATCGTTTCCCAAGACTGTACCTTTATGACTTAGTGAGACCTAAGTGCTAAACCTAGTTGGAGATAATTTTTAATTTTTAAAACTCTTCGGAAGAATATGAACATACTAGAACTTCTAGAATATTGAAGATTCATTTGAGTTCTCTGTTTGTTATGCCACCTGTTGCTTAATACACAGAAAGGTGTGATTGTCTAGAAGCCATTATATATAAAGATTAGAAAGAATCTCATTTTTTAAAATTAAAGGTTCTCAGATTTTAATGTAAAAGATATATAATTTTTTTTTTCCAGAATTCAGGTAAAACTTTCTCTCATGACCATGAACAAATATTCTAGTTGAAGGAAGTAGGGAAGAAAAAAAGTACATTGAAAAACTTAGAATGTATTTTACCACAGTCTAGAGTCTGAACAGAAATACATAATTTAATCCATGCCAAATTCCTTGCTCATTACCTTGTATGCTGTGGTCACTTAGCACAAATGAAGATTAGGCTTTTATGTCATGACTGTTCCCTATGGCTGCTTGATTTCTATTCTTGGCAGCTATTTGTTTTATTTGTGATGTGATTACCTTTAGGATAAACTTTGTGAGTGGGATCATACCAGTCTTTTTTATTGGTATAAAATGCCCAAGGTGCTGACCTCAGCTTCCAGGTGATGATTAGAACAAAATCAGAGGAAAGAGTTCAAGAACCTTTTATTTTCTTGTCTTCCACACACTGTGTACTTAAGGTGGCAAAATGCAAGGATGGTCTGTCTGCTTAAAAAAACTTTGTCTTAAGGTATTCCGCCACAAAGGACCTCCTCTTAGCTACTTCTGTTTATCTGAATGATATGGGGTAAATGCTCCCAATCACCAAGGAGGGCCTTTCCCCGCTGGCCAAGCCCTGTGTGTGATAAATATAGATTCTGCAGCGTGATCCTATAGGCTATCAACAATACTGATCCAGAGCAACTTGGTAACTTTTTTTTTAGTTTTCTTTTTTAGACCCTAGTGTTACAAACTAAGCAATCTCATGATCTGGCCCTTGAGCAACCCAATTCTTCTATATGGGACATTGAGCAAGAGTGACAGAGGGAGCTGGTGTCTGGAAGCCAGCGGGGCCATGGTCAGGCTGGGACCACCCCTACTTCTAAGTGACTAAGCAACACACAGCTTGCTTTTACATCCCACATATGCAAACCTTAGCTCAATGCTTGAGTGTCACCTCAAAGATATCCAACTCTTTTTATTTTATCTCCTATGACAAATCTTACCCTGCTTGTGAAGTAAGAAAAAATTAGGATTTTGCTGAGAAACAAAAAGATGCCATTCAGGCCTACAAATGCTACTTCATTTAGGATGGTGGGGCCACTCCTTGCCAAGTGGCATCCAGGACTGTGTAAGCCAAGTGTGTCTCCATTCTGGGCTCCTCAGAGTCCACATCTGTCAGCCACTTGGCTTGTCAACCTGCTTTTAAGATACCCAGTCACTACTAAACCATTCCCCTCCAATCACCCAAAATAAACTACAGGAAATAATAAGATAAATAGGATGTGCTTCTCCTTGCTGAGTGCATTGACTTAAGGCATAGGCACATTTCCCCCTCTTTGAACAGAGATGGTGTAATCCCCTGTCCCAGCACAAGAGCTGGCCAGGGTGACCCTGGAGCATGATGATGAAGGTGGAGTGATGGGTGGTAGCTGATGGCGGGAATTAGAATTGTTTCTACGAGTTGGGGAGTGGGTGCTGCTGGGCCCAGGGGGGCACAGTGACTCAGTTTATGCTACACATCAGGAAGCCTTTTGGGTGTGTGTGTGTATGTGTGTAGTGTTTTAGATCTGTTATTCTTGGAGAAAACATAATGGTGGATTTCAGAATATGACTATCCCTACATTGCAAAAAATATATAAGAGGATCGAAGTCAGTGAGTGTGTGGCTCTACCTACCAATCCCAAGAAAATATAATAATAACTAGGTTGCTCTTAGACTTCCATCTCCAAATGGCTCCTCTTGGGGTTGGGGGTCCCACTCTTGTTAATTTTGATTGATCCAATAATTTTGGGTCGGAGTCTATTGAATAAGTCAGAAGTGAGGACAGAACAGATTTTGAGCCATTTCCCCCCTTTTTAAACAGTGATGCATCACCCATTTACTCTTTGCCTGTAAGGCCATGGAGTAGCTTCCAGCCGACTGAGGAGCAGCTGTTCTCCGATTTTGTGCTGATTTATGACTCCTGTTTTGACGAGGGGGTTATATGTGAGTTGGAAGGAGGGAAGAGAGGAGTTGGGTGAGCAGTTTACACTTTGCTAAAATTCCTCCTTCTCATCCATCCAGCGACAAAGGCCCCCAAACATCTGATTGCAGAGGCAGACCAACCATTTGAGTTTCCATGGTCGACTTCTGTGGCATTGCCCCTCCCTAACATGAGGAGGGAGGAGTCGGCCAGCCTCACTCCAGCTGCAAAAGAAAACCAAATGTCCATGTTTAATCCCAGGGTCTCAGTGCTGGAGCGTGAGTTGGAGATTCCCGCCATCACTGCCCTGAAATGACACTAAAGGAGGTGCGGATGCTGTTTGGTGAGTGTCCGATACGCTGAGTGATTCTGAAGGGTCTGGGGGTGCGGAGCCTGATCAGTGTTTTGATTTTATCCTGTAGGTGGTAGGGTGGGGATGGAAATGACAGTATCACAGGGTCACCCGTGGTTCCTTTTGTACTGAAACCTCATTTTATACAGAGGATATATATATTTATTTATATATATTTATATATATTTATATCCACACACACACAAACACTCACGCTCACTCACCCACGCGCGCGCGCACGCACACAAGGTCTTTGATAGGCTTTCTGTGTTCTAGTAAAAATAGCTGGCAGCCCGTGTCTGAAGCCAGAAAAAGGCCTTCCGCTGCCGACAGCGTCCACTGTGGAGAGTCTCTCAAAGGCAGACACTTGTGTTTATCTGACAGGTGGAACCGGTTCCTGCCTGGGACAGGAATAGTCTCCCATTGGCGCAGACGCAGAGCTCGAAGACCTTCTGCCTCGTTCCTGTGGGTGTGTAGGATCCGTGAGGCAGCCTAGGCAGTTGGATTTTCGCAGCATCTAACTTAATCTAAAGAGAGTAGATAGGAAGGGAAGAGTTAGAGGCTGTCCTTGACCCTCCTGACATTCAGAAATAGCAGATGCATGCTCAGTTCCACTTGGATCAAATGAGCACACACTCGGGGTTGAGTATTGTGGGTACCAGGGATGCGGAGATGAATGAGACAGAGTCTCTACCTCACAGAAGCTTATAGTCCAGTGAGGCAACATTGCACTGGATGTATATGTATATTAGCATTTTGCAAAAGTCTATCATGTAGAATGTGAATAGAGTTCTAGAGTGAAATGCGTTTGGGGATGCTAGCTTTAACCATTATCTTTACTGGGGCACTTCTCAGACCCTCAATACATCTGTGTGTATGGTACATCTTCAAAAATATATAGCATTTTCTGGGCTTAAGTGAATGCTACAATATAACCAATCCTTTCAGTCTGAATTCTGACAGCTGTAAACCATGTACGTGATGCAGTCGCTGCTTTAAGTGTGTGTGGTTTGGAGTTTGTAGCTGTTTGAAGAGACGGTTTTGATAACTGACTGCTCTATCTGACTAGCTCTTTTAAAACAAATACAGTATAGCAAATGCCAAACCAATCAGAAGGCGGGCTGGGCGAACAGTGGCAACTGGAGATGGATCACCTCTAAGTAGCTCCGAAAGGGAGGGTAGAGTTTTGCCATAATAAAGAAAAACACATTTTTTTCCCTCTTTTAAAAATTCTTAAATAGAAAACTTTGCTTATGGACACAGTGAAGGCACTTTAAACAGTCTGCAGCTGAATCATATTTTCTTTGGGGACTTGGCTCACATTGCAAAAACATGAGCAACTTATTCTGTCCACCCAAGTGAGATTGTGTTGGGTTAGAAGGATGAATATTTGCAATCTGTCAGGTGGATTGAAGTTTTGGCTTGTTCTGGTTTGGGATAGCTGTTGGATCTGACTCTCTATACTCAATGAAAGTAGAAACAGGCAACATCAACTTTTAAAAATGACTACCAGTAAATTTTGTTCATCATTAGCCAGATGTGTGTCATATACATCTTAGTTTGCCAGCTACATAAATCGTATTTTTATATGACAACAGACAGAACTTGGAAATAGCATTCCTCCCTATAGCCATATGTATTATTTTGTACTTGATATTATCTCAGCACCTTACAAATAATGAGGCATAACTTGAATGCATTGTGGGTTTGGCTTATCGTTGTCCTGGTCGACATATCTGTTCCCCAAATAAAACCTTTCAGTTGGCTCCTTTGGTTCTTACAGCGTAGGATCAACTTCAGTGGTACAGGGAGGAACCAACCAGTTTGGGGGAAGGCTGGCTGGTTGCAGCTGCACCTCTCCAGACTCCTGTCCTTCTCAGCCCCTACCTCTCCATCTTTGGACTCCAGTCTCAGCTCTGTCCTGCAGGTGGCTTCCATATTGCCGGCTTCTGCATTTATTTCTACTCCTTTTGGGGCCTCCATCACCAGAGACCGGGTTGGGGACTCCAACCTGAAATATATACAAGACTAAGGTTACAGATCCCATTTCAGAATTTGTGTGTGTGTGTGGAAAATTTCAGAGGATGTTCGATGCTCAGAGCATTGAAGGGGCACTTCAGTATTTGCTCAGGACATTTGTCTAGCTTTGCTTTACAAACCTGGTCACACTGATGAGGGAGCACAGATCTGGGCTTCACCCTCATTGCATATCACCACGCTAACCCAGAGAAGGGAATATCAGGAAATGTAGTGCCAGCTTAGCTAAGTTGATCAAACACAAATCCACACCAGTATGTCATCCTGTTTTTAATGGCTGCTTTGGCTTAAACACTGTACTCGATGGAATCCATTTTAACTTCTAGTATAGAAACTGATTGAAATAAAATAAGCACCTACAAGAAGGAAGGAGAAACTTGGGATCTTCTATATAGGATCTGCTTTGAAGTCAAGTTACTCTGAAATCCATGCCCCTCATAAATGCAGTAGCTATGCAAATTTTATGAATGGAACTGCTGAAGTTTTAGAGATCTGTTTGTCTTTATTCTTTTAAAAAATATATTTTTATTGATTTCAGAGAGAAGAAGGAGAGGGAGAGAGGAATAGAAACTTCAATGATGAGAGATTCATTGATCCAGTGCTTCTTGCACGCCCCCTAACTGGGAATCGAACCTCAACCTCCAGTTCATACATTGATACTCAACCACTGAGCCACACTGGCCTGGAAAGATCTGTCTGTCTTTAAATAATGAGTTGAAAATCTAAGCAGAATACTCTAGGGTTGTGCTCTATAAAGATTTAAGATATGGGTTGGATATTGTCATTTGAAGGCCATTCTTTCAGAAATACAGTGATAGTCTATCCCTTTTAGAGCAAAGCCATTTTGAAGTTTGCTTTTATGAAAGGCAATCCAGAACATTACAAAACACTCTTTTGAATCAACCCTTCTTTCCCAGAGTAGAATTTGTTGTTTTATTTAATAAACATTTATTATACTAGACCTACAGAGACAGAGAAGTGGCCTCTTTCCAAGTCTGAGTCGTTAGGAAGTGACTCATTTATCTGGGCAACATCTATTGAATTCCTATTCTATGCAAAATGCTGGGGTTATAGTTATAAAAAATATAGACCTCCTTTCCCTAGTGAGTTTATGTGCTGTTGTGGAAGAGATACATTAAGCAGCTATTGGTTTATGGTGATGAAGATTCCTTAACGAAGAAGTTCAGGGGATTATAAGAGTTTATATAACTGGGGATTGGTTTGTGGGAAAAGCTGAGGTCTGGGAAGGCTTATGATGATATCTGAAGGATAAGGAGGAGTTAACTTGGTGAAAGATGAGTGTTCCAAGTAGAGGGAGCAGCATGCATGAAGACTCCTGGGGGGAAAATAGTTATGTGGCTTAAAAAGTTGAAAGAAGGTTCATAGAGACTGTGGTAGTAAGAAGAGGTAAGAGATAAGTTAGGCATGGCCTGGCAGAATATGGTGACCCAGTAAAACATTTATAGAGGCTTAAAAAGATAATGGACAACATGATCTGATGTCCATGTTGGAAAGATTACTGTGGTAGTTAATTTTGTGGGTCAATCTGATTGGAACACAGGGTGCCCAGGCATTTGGTCAAACATTGCTCTGGGTGTATCTGTGAGGGTATTTCTGGGTGAGAGTAACATTTAAATCAGTGGACTCAGTAAAGTAGATCGCCCGCCCTCCCTCCCTCATTCAATCAGCTGAAGACCTGATCAGAACGAAGGCTGAGTAAGAAGGAACTTTGCCTGCCTACGTGAGCTGGAACATTGGCCTTCTGCTCTCAGATTAGAATGCACCCCACCACCTCTCCTGGATCTCCAGCTTGCTGACTGCAAGTAAGGACTTCTCAGCTTCCATTATCAGGAGAACCAATTCCTTACGATACAGCTGCTTATTTATACTGTATTAGTCAGGGTTCTCCAGATATACAAAACAAACAGGGTGTGTGTGTGTATAATATTAAATATATATATATATATATATATATATATATATATATATATATATATATATCTGGCTACACAGTGGATAAGAAGGGACATGAGAATTGCAAGGAGAAGAGCTAGAAGTCTGTGGTTATCCATGTGGGAGAAGATGGTAACTTGGATTTGATGATGGAATTAGAAATGAATCCCAGCGTTGTGAGTTTTATACCTGGTATACTGTGTGGGTCAGCCACTAAGGTAGGAAGAGTGTTGGTGGAATACTTAGAGCAGAAAACTGTGAGTGGAGTTTAGATGTGTTGAATTGGAGGTGGCTGAAACGTCAGGTGGGAATGTGGATATGCAGGGCTAGAGGTAGAAATCGGGAGGTGTGTTTGGTCGTGGCTGGCAGCAGATTCCTATGTTGCTGAGTTATTGACAGTGTGTATACACAACCTCAAAAAGACTATCTAAAACATACTCAGACTCTGCAGTGTCAGCTGACTCCTTTGGGCTGCCGAGACTAGGAATGCACTCAGAGACGGTTGTCTTAGCCAAGTCACAATGTAGGTGACATCCTACCAGGGTGAACATTTCCTTTGAAATGTCCTCCCTCTATAGCTAGAGACAGAGCAAGATCCTCGCCAGAGTTCCAAAGTGCCCAGACGCTGTTGCCCTCTGAGGTGGTCTCACGGAATATGACAAGGACAAGCTTGGCTGTGTCTCCTAAGCCTGGGGAGATGCTTTCTCTATGCAACCATCATTTCCAGGCGCGTTTCTGCATTCATTTGAAACCTCTCCTTCTCTGCCCAAACTGCATTTCAAGTACCTGTGAAACATGGGGCAGCAAGAGTGTCCCTTTGCTCCGCAGTTACACTAGGAAGTGTCATGAATCAAAAGGATTCCCAAAACTTAAAATGCTATCACAAGGTCTGTTTCTAACACTCAGAGAATAATTTATTTGCTGTTGGCATTATCAGTTTGTTCTCTCTGTTTCAAGCTCATTTTTTGTTGAAATTGTTTTTGTTGAAACAGTGATTACTTACCCAGATTTCTCATTTTCATTTCCTTCATCATAAGAATCTACATTAATCACTTCCAAACCTAGACAAGCTTTTAGATCATATTTTGCTCCCATCCTCAGAGAATGGAGACAATAGCTTTTATTACTTTGGGGAACGACCTTCAAAACATCATAAAAAACAAGTAATGTATGTGGTGAGTGAAATAGCAGAGGGTTAGCCAGAAGTCTTTCCTAGGGAGAGCAGAGTCACACTAACACCAACACCTGGAATTACTGTGTATGTTCTACATTTGAGGGGAAAAAATGAATTAGAAAAAGTTATGATTGAAAGGTAAACAATTTAGAAAAACATGATGGGAGGGTTTGTAAAGTTGGCGGTGCTTTAGTCAATTGAAGTAGTTGCTTTCAGGGGGTTCTTGGATTGGCTGAGGCCCATGGCTGGGAAATTCTTATTCAGTTAGAATCATAGGAGAAGCTTTCAAAACTTGGGTCCCATCCCATATAAATTAAGTCAGAATTCCAGGCCATTTACATTTTCAAAAATTTATCTATATGGTGATGGTTGAAAACCACTGTCTTAGACTGAGCAGTTCTGTGTGTGTTACAGATACACAATTTTTAATAGAGAACCTTTACCACTTCACTAGTGGGAATAGAATGGTTATCATATTTAAATTTTTTTTATGAATTTGAGAGCGAGAAACATCAATTTATTGTTCCACTTGTTAACTGATTCATTGGTCGATTCTTGTATGTGCCACGACCAGGGATTGAAACTGCAACCTTGGTGTATTGAGATGATGCTCTACCCAACTGAGCTAAGGGGCCAGGGCCAGAATGATTATGATATTGCTTCTAGGGCAGTGATGGCGAACCTTTTGAGCTCGGCGTGTCAGCCTTTTGAAAAACCCTAACTTAACTCTGGTGCTGTGTCACATATAGAAATTTTTTGATCTTTGCAACCATAGTAAAACAAAGACTTATATTTTTGAGATTTATTTTATATATTTAAATGCCATTTAACAAAGAAAAATCAACCAAAAAAATGAGTTCGCGTGTCACCTCTGACACGCGTGTCATAGGTTCGCCATCATTGGTCTAGGGGAAGAGTAACCAAAGCTGTGACCCCAGGAGCTAAGGTAATGTGCTTGATAAAATAAAGACCTGCAGTGTCTACTCTGTAGGTTCATTGGACCACTGGGGCCACTTGTAATTTTGGGTTGTTGATCTTATGATACTGTGTATATAACCCTTAGCATACCAGTGGGACTCTACTCAGAGAGTGTGTATACTAGTATTTCTCAAACAATTTCTTCATCGATCTGAAGTTCATTATCTCTGGTTGAATCTTCAAGAGCTCCGAGTTGAATTCCTATTTCAAGAAAGTACCATATTTTAGTTGTGCTCTTTGATAAACAAATAGTAATGAACCAACCAACAGCCATGTTGAAAAACCTGATTAGCTTCAGCACAGTGGGCTACTTTGAAGTCATGATGCAAGTTTGATGCTGGACAACTTTCAGAGCACAGTACTGGCTACCAGCATGCCGAATACCGTGGCCCATTTACTTTTCAGTTTGAAAATTCATAATGCTCCCTCTGACCACATTTTCTTGCCACCTTTGTGACTCTTCCTGTATTTCTGAGTTAGGTTAAAAGTATGACATCATGCCAATTAGGAACCTCAGAGGCAAACCCAGTGTCAAGTGCCGGTGACAGACTTAGATCCACATCTCATCAGTGAACTTATGTGACGTGCCCTGTGTGGTGGGTGCTTTTCATGTGTATTGTCCCATCTGATGTTCACTACCAGCCCCACTTGTGAGAGGAGGCAGTGGACAGTTCGAGAGGTTAAGTGTCATGGTGCAGATAATGCGCCTAGAGAGTTACAGATCAAAGCATGGCCTCTTGATTCCTAGCAGATATGCTTTATAATATTTCCTGGTTCTGATAGTTGAAAAGCAGTTGAACATTTTAGGCAGAAATCTCATCCTGTAATCTGCTATGCCACCCAGAGTCCCCATAGGTTAGCACTTCAAA